CAAAGTCGCTTTCAGCTTTTTTGACCCAACAAACTGCGTTTAACTCCCACGCACAAAGGCACGCGATGCTTAGAGCGAGTTGTGCAGAAGTGATGGCCACCAAGACCGAGGTCTGCATCTCCAAGTATTTGGGTCAAATCCCCAAGGATAACTCATTTTGACAGTTAGGGGCACCCGCCTACCAGTAACAAACGCTTTCACTTATCGGACCTCTGACTAAGAAGATACTGGAAGATCTTCAATTTCAGTTGATCGCAACATGCGTAGGACAGGTTTCTGCTCAAGTTTTCATGCCTAACACTTTCCGTTGGTACTGCTTCCTTGGTGGCAATGTTCGAAAAGCTGCTTTAAAAGGTGTCCTCCTTTAGACTGGTCAAAAACGGCTTTCCCGGTGGACTGGTATTCATGTAATTCTTGGAGCTGAAAGCCACAAAAGTGAATGGCTTTGCAAAACAGCCATGGGAGTTTATCAGCTACGTCAAGTTTCTATCGAGGTAGTCTTCTGCATTTAAGTGAATCGCTGTTAAACCTTAATAGAACGCCCACTTAGACCAAAACAGCCTCGCACGTAGGCTAGGACGAAGCAAATATGGATTAATTCCTATTGCTGACAGGCGTGACTGCGATAACCCAAAGGTACAGCTCCAAAGACAATTCGTGAGAAATGAAAAACGTCCCTTATTTCCCATTGTCTGCTCTTAAGAGGCATTCGTTGTAGAAGGAACTACGAACCTCGACAAGAATTTGTTGAAAATACAAGTAAATCGAGGTTTGTAGGCATCTACCTGCTAGTGTTAAACACTGAGGAATATACATTGGAGAGCGTAAACGGGTCGCAGATCAAGGGGTCGAGAGTCATCAAGTTGTGCACTCCAGGAACTAAATGCATTTATAAAGTTGGCAAAGGCAATCTAGATAGTTTCCCAATAGCATACTAATCAAATTCTACAGATGACTGACAGGGCTTTCGACTCGATTGGATCCCCTGTCAGTTAAAGCATCAAAACGCTTGCAATGTACGCGAACACTCGTGTATCGTCCTCGACGAGGGTTATATTCTTGCCACACAGGCGTGAGCCGGAGTTATAGTTGGGAAGACTTTTGCAGCATCCGTCCCACTTACCTTTCTGTCCCCCACTAAGTTACTGTCACAAGGCCAAGATAAGAGGACCGGAGAGGAGAATAAGTAGAGTACCCTGCGCGCACTTTGCCCCAAACTGTGAAGCTTATGTGTAAACCCAAGTGACCCCTGGCTGAGTAAAATCCTGGTGCTTGTCTTTGGAGGGCCAGGTCGTGCGCATGTCGCGCGCAGACAAGGTCACCGGTTATGTCAGCCGCCGCGCCCATTCCCCGCACCTGTCAAATGAGCGGCTTGGGCAGTGAATGTGACCTGGGAATGGGAAAGGAGAGTGAGGTCGACGACTCAGCGCATGTTCCTCACCACAAACGACCTGACGTACTTGAAGTTATCACGGTGCGCTAAAAGCCGTGGCTTGGAAGGTTGCAAACTGACGGGATAATTTGGACCTCGCAGTCGGCCCTGTATGTGTTTGTATGGAGTAACGAACTAGTGGACTGAGGGTGAGGCTGCAATGGCTCCTTCTTAATATGGCCTCCACGGCACGCCGACTCTTTGGCGGCACGCCTAGATGCGGCTTCGGCCGCGTCAGCGCCTTTGTCTTTGGTTAAAATCCTGGCCATTTGCTGTGCCGAGCGGGGGGCGTGGGGTGGAGCGCCAAGGTGCGGGTTCGACCGTGCCGTCCACCTGTGCCCTCTTCCGCCTCCGGTCTTCTTAACTTTGATTTGACACAGGGTGCAGATGGGGAAGGAGGAGAGAATGAGGTAGATGCATCGCAAGTCTACTATCACTATAAAAGAAGGCACGCTCAAGTCACCGTGCCTACTCTCACCTCGTCGTGAAGCGCACGGTGGACATCGTCGGAACCGACAGTCAAACTGTCATGTGTGTGTGCGTGTGTGAAGCGTTTTGGATCCCTGGGTGACCTTTCCACCATAATAGTTGGTTTGGTGGCTAAGACCATTAGCGCTCAGCAAGCTACTGACCCAGTGGCTGGACACTGGCACCTCTTTAGTCGCAAAGTTAATTTCCTTCTAAATGAAAGCCCTTGTAGTAACTCTTTATAGGGCGTCATGCTCGGTTGCGCGCATTTAAATTAAATTACAGTTAAGGAATGTAGTGCTTTTACAGCTGCCTGCCACTTCTTTGGGTAGTAACCCAGTCAAGACGACAGGATATGAAAGTAAATTCAGTAAATGAATTGAAAATTTGTCGAACCTAGGCTTTCTGTGACGATTTCGCTCAGATTTTAAATCGAACCAAATCTTCTGAAGTATACTACCATGACATAAAATTCTTCTTACGTCTAAGCTGCTGAAATTGTGGGTAGGTGGGGTCGTGGATTTCGTATGGCACCAATTATCGATCGTGTGTCCAATCATTATCTATTTCTGAACTCGGTACCCATTCGACGGTCTGCTAAAGTTTATCCGATTAGCTCGGAATTTTACACCCCACCCGAACTTCAGTTGAGGAAATTTCCACCGATAGTTTGCAAGCATCCGCTCCACTTCTTTGTTCCTGTTTCCGAGTCTTAACTACTTTCCTCTCTTTTAAACTCACCAGACTGTTTTTTTTGAGTTCGACTTCGAGAAAAGCATTATGATTCAGTAAACAAAAGGGCTACATTTATCAAGAAGTCCTTTACTGGGCCTGTCTCTGGATTCCACCGGGATGTTTACCAAGCAAGCCTCTGTACCTTTGTGTACACTACCCGTCTGTTTAGAAAATACCGGTTTCGTGTGTCCACCACTCGAGAAGTTGTTCCAGACAGGAGCATCAAGTCCTATCGCTGACGCCAAGCGGCACCGATCCAGTACTAAAAATAAATACCCAGAGTTGTGAAGCCATCGATTCTACCAACGCCAGGCACGCAAGGGTATGTCTGGGTGCGGACGTGGGAACTCGTCAGCGGATAAAACACGCGACGCCAACACTGTCAAGGCCGTCCTCTGACTGGCTGTTACAGTGGCCCAGTGACAAAGCTATAAGGAAAATAAACAGCAGCGGTGTTCGTGGGTTGAAGTGGGCACACAGCCAACGCGCCAGACAGCTGGAACCACGTCAGCTAGCTGCCTGCAAAGTATTCAAGTTTAGAAAGCCGGTTGAAACACTGACAAATCTGCCTCAAAACACTTATAAATCTGCTTCAGTTTGCCGGCTCTCGGGTCACAAAAAGACGTCAATTAATCTCCTCTACGAGTCTTTACATCTACATCCCAAAGAATGCCATCCTTCAGTGACGACTACCCGCTGAAACAGAGCTGTTGCAGACTGGAAGATTTACGAAAAGCTAACTTTGCACCGGATTTAACCATAGAGGTAAGCAATGCTTTAGTTGAAGCATCCACGCAGGGGATGCTAGGTTCTAAGTGGGCAGAAGGTATATGCTCATCGAATCATCCTGGCAGCCAGGATCCCAACACTACAGGAGAGCCTTGCAAATCCTGGTACTAGTCTCTCCTGGTCCTCCTATTCGCAGAGGTGGGTCATTTTGCTTTGGATTACCGGTTCCCCTCTCTCCTACCTCCCTCTCAATGTAGTGTGGTGGAGAGCCTGTTGGAGTATGTTTACACAGGGACGGTCAGCATCTCCCAGGACAACGCGCAAAACCTCCTCCGGATGGCAAAAACTCTCCATATGGACACTTTGGAGGAGTGGTGCATCCAGTTCCTGATTAAAAGGTTTGTGTAGTGACTAAGCAGGTTCAATTGAAACGGTTTCGCTCTGAAACTGTATGTCTCGGTTCAAGTTATTTCGCGTACTTTTTAGTCACAACTAACCATTCATCCTGGCTTCTTTAAACTCACTTTTGCTCATGGTGGAAATTGAAAGAACTTAAGAAAAAGACACCCCATTTGCCTGCTTCACCTACAGGTGTTGGCGCGAGCAATGTTTGTTGGTTCTAGCGTTAATTGCCTTCTGCTCAGATGGCCATTAGACACTTGTCAAGTTATCTTTCCAGGTATGTGTTCGTTGAAGTAGCACATTGTCTGTACATTTTTGATGATTTGCTTCGCGTGATGGAGGCTCGTCTTTGCTCATTGTGAAATCATGGTCTATGGTGTGAGTAATTATAATAACATAGCCAGAGGTAACTTCTCACGTCACTGTGTTTACTGTATAAGTAGTAAAGACGACAGGCATGAAACGAAACTGAAACCGTGACCACAAATAAACCTCGTTCGAGCCCAGACTACTAGTTATTTTGACGGTTCTAAAAGGAACCACTCAAGCCTCTAGATGTTCCTATACACCCGTAATGTTTTCGAACGTATTCCTTTTCTAGGTGCCATCCGCCGTCCCTCTGAAAATAAATTTTGGTGCGGATTTCCTTAGGAATTACGCAACGAGTTGTCATTTGGTAGGCTAAACAGTAGAAATCCAAGCCACTAAGGGCCGCATTACCCTACACGTCTAGTTCTGTGTTCATCTAGCTACCAGAATCAATAAATTGTCGGGGCGCTTTTTCCACCAGCCCCATAAATTTAACGTCTGGCCAAACTGCCGTTAGGCCAAGGCAATACTAACAACTTTTTTGACACCAGTTAGTAGGCATCGTCAACGGAAATCCGGCAAGGAAGGGGCTTACACCTGTGCACTCCAGTAAGTAAGACGATTCGCCATCTATTTTGTCATCATCGTCAATAGCTACCACAAAGCAGCAACAGATTTGGATTACGATATTCGTGATATGCTACTCTGCCAGGTGAGACACCCCCTCAATCGAAAGAAGTCCATTTAGCGGAGTATGTCTACCAGCACCGTTTTAAAGGATACGACTGATCGGGCCAAGGCTGCCAAATAAGGTCAGGGAGGGAGGAAGAGGATCGTGTCTGGCAGGAGGTACACTCATTATTTATGACAGATGTGCGCTCACCGATTAGGTTAGGGGACATGCTCGTTCCGTTGTGCCTTGGGACTCATACTAGAACCCTCGCAGGCAGTCGCACAGTAACTGGTAGCAGTTGTCGGTATCATCTCATCTACTCATTATTTATTCGTGAATACCTTATCTTCGAATAGAATTCGGTCACAAAGTGGCTCAACCTGGTTTTTACTTGTATAACATATCTATTTACGTCACTTGGGTTGGCTTAATTTGATCCCTTGCTTTCACTCATTCCCGTCATGCCTTCTCCAAGTGTTACCATTAGGATTAGTGTTCAGCTTGAGGTCAGGATAAGGGGGGTTATGAGTTAGGGTTAGAAGTTAAGGGTTATTGCTAGAGGTTAGGTTTAGGAGTACCATCACACTCCCTGGTCCTCGACGTACACTGACCAGGATTTTATACAACAGCAAAAATGAGGAGGCGACTTGGATAACAATTGACGCGGCGTGCGACTGCACATGCCGTCACACCCCCCAAATGTTATGGATGTGCGTTCCCGATAACGCCTACTGGACCCCGAGTTGGTCCAGTGCGCCTACCTCGTGGCCCGTTTTAGAGGACAGGGTGGCTTGACATTGTTTGCAGCGCCGATCCAGTTTGCAGTCCGAAACATGGCACAAGCCCGAATACGCCACCCATAAAACTCCTGTTACCACATTTTTTGTAATACAGGGATTCTTGGCGCCCGTTTTCTCAGTGGGGACACATACGCGATCGTCACCCAGAATTCGAAGGGGCTTTCGGCACGAAGACTGTCATAAAACCGGTCTGATATAGGAACCTTTAAAAATCAAAAATAAATACAATTGTGATGTTCTGTTTGAAAGGGGGCTCAACTCGTGGAGTATTTCACAAACTGCACATGATGCGTTTTTAAAAAAACTAAAAGCAATGTAACTGCTAACAATCAGCACCGAACTTTAATGTAAGGATGCCATGTAAATACGATGTGTAGCAAAATAGTTGATGCAGTTAAGTCTTTATAGCCAAAACTTCCCTTGACGTAAACATGTTCTCTTTAATTGGATTGCCAAAGTCAGTCATTCTCTGCCAGCATATATATCAAAAAACTTACCCTTTTTTTAAAATCGTAGCCTTTGGTACCGGTGACCATACTGCCTGCCTGGGAACAACGATCACATTTGCCTTTCCTGCCAATGATGTACACAACTTATGCATTTGATTTGACCTTCAAGCAGTGCCAACAGTCTTCCGCCTTCTCATTCTCGTGAATTTTTATCATTCTTTGTTGCTTTTGCCTTTCAGTATAAATTTGGCCAATTTGTCGAATCTCTGGGAGTTGTCGCAGGATACGAACTGCGCTGTTCTGCAAGAGAGCTGTCTTGCAGTCATGCGACGTATCTTCGAAGATTTTGTGTTCACCGACCTATTTGCCTCGCTGTCGGCAGAAGCCCTGTTTAAACTCCTTGACAGTGACGATTTGCGTGCGCCAAGCGAAGAGGCCGTATTGCAAAGCGTCCTGGACTGGATGACGAAAGACCAGGAGAGGACATCTGGAGGGGGAGAAAATACGCGAGTTGAATACCTGCACCGGCTGCTGCCTGCTATACGTTGGAGTGAAGTTCCAGACGAGAACCGAAAGAAACTCTGCCACAATCCCTTCATACAAGCCGACCCAAAATGTTTGTAGGTTCCTACTGAGCCTGTTGATTTTTTTAGGAGGGCCTTATTTTAACCAAGAACATTGTCTCTAAATCACTGTTCTACTGTTTTGAGAACTAGGAATATCTTAATACTAAAGCTGTTTTTCTCTATTTACTGTCCTTCTGCTAGGTTCAGGACGCTAGTTTCACGTGATCGGGTTCTCACACCTCAGTTTAGCGTCCCAACGTGGATGTTCGAGTCTAGTCCTTCTTGAACGTCATGACATACCTAATGTAGCGGTCTCCGTGTCCAGTATGCGTTTTTATATTGCGAAAACCGCCGCGTATAGTTTGACTGACTTCTCTTAGCCACCATCTAGGCAGTAGGCGAAAACTCATCTAAATACGTAATAGTAGTTTGCACTTTTAGCTAGCAAAATAACAGGGTGAGGACTATAAAGCTACATAAGTCTACGATAATTCAACCGTCGCAAGAGTCGCCTTTTACATCTACTCTGTTAGTGCCTGTAGTTTCGTTTCCGGCATAGACTCATCAATCCTCCTCGCAGTGTGCCGTTCGATCCTAACTAGACGTGCTCCTGCAGAACAAAGACTCTCGACATGCCAGTGTGCCCCAGTACATGATTTTTCGGGGCCTTTTTCTTTCACTTTAATCTTTGTCTCCTTAAAAGACAGCTTAAATGGTGGCCCTTCAACTTCCTCGGTTGTCTTCGACGACTGTTCAGATCCCCTTGCCAGAGAGCAATGTTGTCAGGATGAAACTCCTCTACTTCCCAAGGTTGACATTCGATTGACTTTTATAGCCTACCGAAGGTCAGACTAACTTTATATGTCCCGGCCGCCACCTCGTCGTCAGTTTTGATGATCAGGGAGACGGAGCTGCCCATGTAAAAGTATCGGACCACTGTTGTGAGGCGAACATCTGTGATGTCGCCGGGGACTCTGTATATATGACTGTTGGTTCCGATTAGCGGACGATAACCGTTTTCTGCATGATGCTATTTAGCGGAAGTCCACACCCCCAGAGGTATGTAGACCCAGACCTTGTCGCTTGTCTGCTTCAATTGTAACGTTCGTTGAGCAGTCGTCAGCAAAAAAGGAACCACGTACCTGGGTCTTGGGGATCTCTGCGGCAGCGTGTATGTGGCGGATGTTGAAAAGTTCCTTATCAGTTCGATAATTAATGTCAACGTCTGGTCTATCTTCCCGGTATGCATCCATCAGCATTGTGGCGAACATGAGTCTGAGGAGGCTTGAGACGAGCACGGAACTCCAGCCATATACCACTATGAAGGCCTCCGCTGTTGATCCGCTCAAGAAAGTCTGTTCATAGGTTCCTTGCGAATTGCACTTGGGCAGTTAAGGAAGTCACTAAAGTGTTCAGCCCAGCTTTCCAGTATCTGCGATTTTTCGTCCCTGAGGCTGTTCAAATGCGTTGTGTAGCGGCACAGTCATGAAGAGTCGGAGGCCGTAGCCTGTTTTGATGGACACGAAGGATTTCTTCACTTCAGCACGATCTGCGTATTCTTGGATCTAATCTGTCTTGGTAGTCAATCAATTGATTTGTATTTGCACCATTCCCCGACAGCTGTCGACGGTATTGGAAGGAAATGGCCCTGTTTTGGCTATACTGTTGTTCGTGTTAGTCGTGTGTAGGCTTACATTTTCTCGGACATCAGTCACTTTATTTCGCCGTTATTGTCACCAAGCCAGTCTTAGTGTTTTCGAGGACAGTGGCGCGGGTGGGATTCCACAACAGCCGCGAAATCTGCTCATAATCTTCATCCTCCAGGGTTTGCGCGTGATTGGTTTATTTTCATATAAACGTTCTAGCCTACGTTCAGCCCGGCCCAGTGTGGTCCTGTTCAGCCTCATCAGCACCCCCCTTCTTTGAGAAGGCCCCCTCGGTAGGGTTTTCAGTGCCACTTTTAAGACGGTCAGTCGGCCATTTTGCACCTCGCTCTGTCTTTATCAGGGGAAGGTCAAGGCGTACAGGCCTCCTGACGAGTACATAGTACAGCAGTTCTCGTCGGCGAAATCGAGGGTGCTCTCGTGTTGTTTTCTTGCGACTAGAGAACCAAAAGATGGTGACGACATGATACTTCTCCCCTGGTTACGTGATCTATGCTCACCTGGGCTATGAGATCATCGAAGACAGGCAGTTTGTCCACCTTCGGGAGAGGATGCAGATTTTCTCTATAGCATCAGCAGTATCCGTCGCTGTGAGATCTGATAATGAGAACAAGTTTCCCCCGATGGCATGGAGGTCTCACTGACATGGGGGTTCTCTTCAGTCCAGGTGGAATTGAAGGCAGCTTGCTGAGGAGGGTGTTTTTGGTGGCGAAGGCAACACCAGCTTGGTGAATCTCTTCCTTTCGACGACCGCTCTATAGCAAGGCGTAAGCTGCACCTACCTCATTTAACTCTGTTCCTGCTCAGAGAAACAGGTCTTCGCTGGGTATGATGATTTCCGCATTGGAATAAGTTAGTTATTGCACAATCAGAACAGTCGTTCTGTATGGTCGATTGGCCAACAAATTATCGGAAAACGGACATTCCAGATTGCCAGAATGAGGGGGATCGAGCGCAGAACATAGAATAAACTTCTTCCTGCGTACTTCGTTGCTCCTTAGGTTTTATCCGTGTCTTTTGATGCATAAACTTTTGTTGCCCGACGGTTACCTCATTTCGACCTTAAAAGTTTCATGCAAATTCTAGCAGAAATTAACTCCGCACCGCCAGCGCCACGGAAATGGGCTTAAACCTCTTTGTTGTGTATGCACTGATACGTTGTATTTGTTACTATTGTTCATCATTTTGTCATTTTATGACGTTCCCGTTCTCTGCTGGCAGTTATTTTAGGCCTTGAATAGTTGACCTGCCATAGAATCGTTTTTCTTATTTGGTAGTTTTTCGGAAAACGTATTATTTCTTAGTCAATAAATAATATTTTTTTAAATCAAACTGTGCCTTATTTTGAAGCTCGGTCGTATCTTTAACGCAGTATACCTTTCGTGGATGCGGGCTGGGCGTTTCGTGCGCTGCAGCGATTTGAGTTCACAGTTCATGACCTTTCATCAGATAGGTCACGAACCGTATATGACGGTTGATGCTGATGTACTTTAGGGTTGCATAATGGCTTCTCTCCGCTGTTTGGAATTTGTTTCTCATGCAGTTCCAGCTGAATACCTTAATAAATCTGAAGAGGGAGATTCTAGAAATACCTCTTCTATTGGTTTTTGTCGATTTTTCAAGAGATTCTTACCATCTATGGTTGTACTTTAATTGACCATGCAGTCATCTGACAGCGGAAGTTTTAAGCCGCATGCTTGTCCTACTTGTATCTTTGTTTTACACAGTAAGGCTATTGTGGACATGTTTCGCTCGATTTTATTGCTTCGTGGACTGTTCAGTTACGCGACCTAGGGGGAGTGGATTAAACATCAAAGAAGTAATCGGGTCAAGTTGATGAACGCAGACTGTTAAAACATAGAAATTCGTCGGTCAGGAAACGTCAAACTGTCAACTCCCCAGGCCACGAGAGATGCGCCTCCGGCTTTGCGATCCTAGCACTCAGTCTGAGCGACTTTCCTACTGGGTTATAAGCCACTTGGGCGGAATTATCGGCTTGGCTTACAAGCCCAAGACTAGGGAATATCAAGTATCCGCACGAGCACCAGGTGGGCCCCTCGTAGCTTGGGGTTTGCAGAATCCCAAGCAAATTGGGGTCTTGGCATCTCATCCCTGTCAAAGTGTGCACGTTTTCCGTCTGAAAAACAAGCAAAGACCTCCTGTCTGTCGTCAAGGCCTTTTTTTGCCTCGCCATAAACCTTTGAGTACTATCTAATAGTCAGGAATTCCAACAAACACCGGTTAGAATCCCCAATGACTTAAGATGGAGATCAATGCCAGGTTGGCTACCTGCTGTCAACGATGTCACTTATCGATTTTCCGTTATTCCATGAGCAGCAGTTGTGAAATACACCTTTGCGCGCCGGGGCCAGAATTTGATCTTTGTTTAAAAGAGGAGTAAGATAATAAGACGCCCCAGATTTACTGGGCGTTTGGGAATATCACGACAGTAACGCTCTGCGTTAAAAGATTGCAAAGGGGAATCACTGTTTTAAGACATTGGCCAGATGTGGTTATGCAGCCCCACCTGAAGTAAACAAACCCCAGCCGCCTGTAATACGGGACCGGTGGTAATAGGGGGCTTTACAGAGGGGGGGAGAACAAATAGGCGACGAGGTCAAGTAACTGTATGCAAAAGAAAAGCTATTGGGAATGCGCGGTTGTACTTTGAGTGGTTGGGAAATAGTTGCCCTAACCCTAACCCTTAACAGTTTTGTGCCCACCAGGTGCGGCTGCATAACCACATCTTACCAGGACATTTGTCATCTTGCACGCTCATTAGCAAATACGACTTTAGTTACGATACTGTAGGATCCGGACTCAGCTCTAACATTTTTCTAGTGCAGCCGCTACGGATGATCGACGAAGAATACCTGGTCAGTAACTTGGCCAGACCACAATTCCCCTGATTCTGTTCTGAGATCTTTGAAACCTCTGCAGGCTATACGCGTTCGCCTTGCGCCGCATGAAGTGAGTTTATGCGTTCGGCACTCGCTGCCGCGGTGTATTTCTCGGAGGGCTGGTTCCTTACGGATAGTAGTCCCAATTCACCGAGGCTTTCCGACAGAGTCTCGTGGAGTTTCAACTTCTTTACTGTACTGTTGCAGAATTGTAGCCTCTCGAATACACCGGGTGGTTTTGACTCATAGAAAGCTATCGGCGTCATTTAATCGTGTTGTGGGAAGAAAAGAGCGAAATCCAGCGCCTCCAACCACCCTATAGAAGGCCTAATGCCTGGATGTCAGCCTCAAAATTCCCGATTTTATGCCTGTAAGATACGCATGTATGAACTGGGGGACAATTGCACAGAAGTGGGTCCTTGTGTTGAAGGAGTGTTAGAAAGCACTGCCAATCACAGACGCGATAACGTGACTGCCACACGGAAAGATGTTCCTTTTTATTCCCGTGCCTCTCCTGGGGATGCAGTCAGTTCAACCAAACTCCTTCATAAGCTAACAGCATCCTTTGAGAAATCATTTACGCCTCCTTTTCCCATTGTGCGCTCGTAGATGCGCCGCAGAAATTTGGAAATGATTAATAATGCTTGCATCCTCTGTTTTAACACCAAGGCCTGACTAACCAGCTCCCTGAGCAGGGACCTATCCTAATGTAAAGAGCCTCACTGGCACACTTGCAACTGCATGAATATATTATATGCTTCATAGGACCTATTTGGAAGTTGTTAACGCCTGGATCGAGAAGCATACTGGACTTGGTGAAGAAGCATGTCCTTTCATCCCATATCCACGGATCAAAGGTGAGGAACTCTGCCTCGTTCTCGGACCCCGAAAAACGTTGGATGAGCCTTCGTGGACCGTCGAAGCCTACGACCCTAGCTCCGGCCACGGCCAGGCTGTGGGCAGCATGAAACATCGTTTCGACTCAGCCATTGTCATGCAAAACGGTGAGAAATCAAATACTTAACTCTAATCAGTCTGGATGTTGTAAATACCACTTGGCAACTACAGAACCAACCCTACGCTGTAAAACATTTTATGTGGTGTGCCTATTCTCTAAGTCTCTTCTCTCCCCCCCCTTTTCTCTCCGCCAAAGGTTCTTTGTACGTGATTGGTGGATGGGATGAGCACTCGCGTTGTCGTTCCGTGGAGGTTTTCAATCCCATGACTGCAACATTCGCGTCCGCTGCACCAATGCATTTCGAGAGAAGCTGCCACGGCGCCGCTGCTGTGGGGCACGATAGCATCGTAGTTTGTGGTGGCGAAAATGAAGCCGGCCCAGTGCGTTCATGTGAACTGCTGAATACGAGACTTGACAAGTAGGTCCTTTTTGTTACTTATGCTGCTGATAGTCATCTTGAAGTTCCGAAAGCGTCGATAATGTCAATATGGTGTGTAAATCAGGATGTACAGTGCGTGACCGATCTAATGAAATGTTAACCGAAATTCAGAAATGCGTTTTCAACTGGGAAGAATTAAAAGGGTGGCGTTGTAATATTAGTAATCATGTACCATAATCCCATAGTATTTCAGAGTCGCCAAGATGTCGGCTTTTGAATTCACTTCTTTCTGACCTCCGGCAGAAATCGTACTTGGTAAAAAACTACTACTTACGTAGAATGCATTTTACACATTGATTTTCGATGTTTTGATAAATTCAAATATATTTTATAGAAAACATGCACGAAAATATGTTTTCTTTTGCTTCTTTGGTAGAAAATAACATTTTCTTCACACTTTATACCCAGAAAAAGTATATATTTGGATTTTGAAAAAGTTTCCCCATTCCCGAATAATTTCGAGCCTGACCAGCCGTTGCATTAGCGTTTAACGATTGCATTCCACAAGCTGCACGCGTTCCGCGTAAAGAAAATCGTATATTCCTCTATGCCTTTAAGAAGATACTATAAAGCGTTTATAAAATTTTGCCATGGATACGGGTTGTGTTTTACATTTCACGAGGAGTATTGGTAAACGGACACGTACGATGCTGCATATATGGACATCGCACGGTCCTTAAAACCTCATAATTAGGAACTTTTTTAAAACCAAAAGATGACCTCTTTTAAGGTATAAAATATAACGTCAGTGTGGTTTTCTACCAAACAAGCAAAAGAAGGCATATTTACGTGCATATTTTCCATAAAATATATTTGAATTGATAAAAACATCGAAAATCAATGTGTAAAATGCATGCTACTTAAGTAGCCGTTTTTCACCAAGTACGATTTCTGCCGGAGGTCAGAAAGAAGTGAGTTCAAAAGCCGGCATCTTGGCGAGTCTGAAATACTACGGGATTATGGCACATGATTACTAATATTACAATGCCACCTTTTTAATTCTTCCTAGTTGAAAACGCATTTCTGAATTTCGGCTAACATTTAATTAGATCGGTCACGCACTGTGCTTATATTCTTCCTGCCTAGTAGACGGCCTGTTTGATTATAGGCTTTGATGTGTTGTGCCGATTTGCTCACGGAAAGGCTACTTTGCTGAGTAATCTTTTCCTTTCCCTCCTCTACCCCTGCACGCTCGCGTAGGTGGATCCCCATTCCGGACATGAGACGTGGTGTCCAGCGGCACTGTGTTGTCGCACTGGATGACGGTCGTGTTTTTGTCATTGGCGGAATGACCGAGACAGTGGGCCACGCTGCCGACGTTGTGTACTGCAAGCTGGCAGCGAATACAGACGTCGGATCCATCAATCCGACGGACTTCTGGATGCAGGCCGCGCCGCTGAACGTGGCGCGTCACAGTCACTCCGCGGCCGTGGTTGGCGACCGCATAGTAGTTGTTGGTGGCTTTGACCTTGTCAGTGGTCACACCAACACAGTGGAGATGTTTACTCCGCCTTGCCGACTCGGGGACTTGGGCCAATGGACGAAACTCAGCCCTCTCAGTCCTGATCAGAATGTCCTGTCGTTGACGGTGTGCTCCGGTCGCCCCATCGCTTTTGGTAAAGCTCTCTGATTAACGCTGATCTGTGCAATACTTGCTCCAGTGATTTGGCTGAAAGATGCCTTGGCAGGTGACATGAACTGCTGTAAGCGTCAGGAAGGCTTATTTCTGAATTTGGGATCCAGCAGACTAGATACCGGGTCGCCTCCCTCTTAAGGACTTATGGAAAGTATCCGGAGCTCTGAACGATTTTCTGTTCTTAACATACTCCTGCCTGGGACACTTTAGTCCCCTTTCCGTTGTTCTTGACCAGGTTTAGCTGATCGCCACGACCTCTACTGAATGTAAGCACACTGGTTGACCGCAGAAGACAGCTGCTTCTCATGGAATCAAACACGTCGCTTATTTATCGCTCAGCAAGAAGGCCTCAAACCCCTCCCCCAACATTTAAAACCGTCCCAACTTCTTTCCAGTGCATTTTCATGGCACATTTTTTATTCCTGTAACTTTTTAGCAAGCTTTCTTTATTTTCGAATCGCATTATTTTTAAATCCACCACCGCTGGGTGGAAGGGTTTAATCCACTTTACCGGGCACCTTCTTCGGATTAAGCACTGGGGTCGAAACGTATTTGTTGGCAGCAATGTGAATTAACGAAATAGCTTACTGCTTCTCCCAGAAGTTGACGTTTTTTGTGTGACGCCAACCGGCACGAATCGAACAAAGGTTCGTCTACTGCTCTGATAAGTCCCTCAGTTCGCCAAAACATTCTGCAAGAGGAATGACATGATGAGCTACTTAAGGCTGTCGGTATTTAGTTTGTCGCTGCGGTTCGTCTACGCGGTTTATTTCTTTGGCTTTTCTTTCTTCCGCCAGGTGAAGAGGGTAGAACCTTCGTTTTGGGGCCAAAGGCAACGGTCAAACTGTCCGTCTGTAGTCAGCTGAGGGCAGAACGGGAGCAGGTAGGTCCTCCCCTTTCGATCCTTTCTGTTGACTTTCAAGGGAACGTTTGTATTCCAGTTACGATTTTGTGGATTTCGGGGGTTACCGATCGTGTGTGAGCTCCAAAAAATCAGTATTGGGCAGGATTAACGATAGTCTCATGGATTTGAACAAAACTGCTGTATTCCCAAAGCAGGTGGTGATACCACCCGTTAGTGCTGTCAGAATCAGAACAGATTACGCCTGTGTCCTATTAATGTCCTTGCCCAGTCTTTGGTAGATACCGTTGTCCCGAAATATGTGGGCTTCTGACCGGAGGGGGTCGGTCGCATTTGTAGTCAGATATCAGCAAAGGCTTCATGTGAGGGGGACGTGGCTTTGGCAGACGCTGTATTGATTCGCGTCCTCGTCACGTCTTTTTTCAGTCCGGCCCCACGCCCACGAACTCTGCTGCCCGGCCTCTTAGTGCCGCATGGCTCAAGTGCAACTCTTGTACTCGCTGACCCACGTGACGCCCACGGCAAAGTCGCGTCCCCTCTACTCCCAGAGGATATTTCGTCCGTCGCCAGCGTCGTGGACACTCTGTTCCCCCGGATGCGGTGACGACTTGCGCATGCAAGGCCCCCATCTAAATGCTGCCTTTATGGCATTCTCACCCATGTGAGGTCCAAGTTGCAATGGGAACCGTGTCGTGTGTGGTCCGACTAGACGGGCTGTTTAACTTTGCCAGTCACAGCGCCCGCGCTCACCTCCTGCCGTCTTTACATTATTTTGCCTTCGGATCAGGGCGGGTGTGGGGAGGAAAAGAATGCGGTAAGTCCTGCTTCATTCAACTCCCGCGCAATGCACCGGAGCTGCACCCACTCCCTGCGGCACGTAGTGTGCGTCGTCGGTTGAGAAGGTCAAACTATCAGCAGGAAAGATTTTCGCAAGATTTTCCGCGTTTCCGCTTCCACGTTCAGACTATTTCAGTGGTAAGACAGACGCAAGACGATCAGAGCGATCGTAGGTCTGTCCTTGGCCCTTTCTCCGTACGCTGCTACTACATTGTAGCTGGAACACTCGAATTGTTTGTACCCTTATTTCTATTGCCCACCCTACTTCCAGAGCTTTCTCCCAGAGGCGTATTGGCCTTTCCAGGCGACCTACCCCGGATAACCTACCACCTGGAAGCCATTGGTTCCCTACCTCTACATAGAGTTGTGCTTGCCTCTTTAGTACATGTTTGGAACAGTTCGTTGTGTGGGTTACCTTTTTACCTTCATCGCACTATGTCTTTGCTGAGCATAAGCCAACTTTGATTTTCATTCCCTCAGGGAGAAGGAATGGCGAATGCAATAGGTAAGAGCGAAAGTGGCGAAGTAGCCAGCAGATAAGTAGTTTACGGAAGCCAAGTTCCATCGATCGTTAGGAGGCGTAATAACTTACCGGGACATTAAATTCCGAGGTCCGTTCATTCTATCTCGCGCTCTAGACCCATGAGCCTCCGGTCCCGTCCGCCATATCTGATCTGAATGGATAAACCTAGCTGCTTTATTAGTAACGCACTAATTACTGCCCGCATCTGCTCCTATGTTGCGTTTCGGGTTCGCATCGACTCCTACAATTGCGCCTGTAAATTGCTCTATCATAGAAACAAATCGAATTTTCTCGGAGCGTGCGATATAAATCATCTCAAGGTGGTTTGAGTTTTAGAAATGACTTTTTCATGCATGTTTACGGTATTCATAGGAATCGAGGTCGTCTCTTTTCAGATGTCGGCCTCTCCTGCTATGTGGGTAGCATTCTGATTATTTGCTTGGACCACGGTGCTCGGTGCACAATAGATTCTGCAGGAGATACTGTTTAATGGCCCCGAGGATGGGGTCCTGGACATGCTAGTACGCCTTAGTTTAGCTCTCGCTTCTGAGGCACCGTCTAATTCGGACTTTTCAACTTTATGACGACAATTTTGCTCACGTTTAAGTACGTGCTTAGGATTTCTCAAGATTTAGTACTCACTATGCTTACATTCTGGCGTCAAAGGCTCACTGTGTAACTAAACTCATGGCTCCCAGTTGGGCCTCGTAGCCCAGGTGACCAGAGCGTTGGCTGTGGTAAAGCCTTCTCCTTGCTGTCACGGGTTCGAATCCTACCGAGGCGCCGAGTTTTCACATTTGGGTCATAATAAATTAGTTTTACTCTGTTTATTCAGACCTACTCTTCGAACTGTGGTGCTAATCACTTAGCTAAAAACGCAGATAACTGAGGATTTCTCCCTACTATCAAGGGAGGTGATTTATGATTCGCAAAAGGCAAATGATCACAGTTTCCGGGGGTAGACTTCAGGTAAAAGATCATTCTAAGAATTGAGTTTAGGAGGCATATCTTTTGCCCGCAACCATACAACTTTGATCTCTTCGCTGCAGAATTTGGCAGGCAAAATATATGGATACGAAGGTACTGGTACGAAGGTAATGGTTAACTGACAGATGTTCTGCCCCACCTTCTATCACTGCTCCTACTATGAGTAGAAAGAGAGCTGGTGGGCATTGTATGTATAGCATAAATCAGATTCAGCATATCCCGGCTGCTATATAAACCCATTGACTTATTTTTAATTTTTTGATCGCCTTTACACGATAATTACTTTTGTGCATGTCGTCGACAACTCTCCTGCAGGTTGGTTTTTAGAAAAAAGAAATTAGTGGCACCCCACAGTGGACATCAACCGGAATGTTAAATCTGATAGCCTCTAAACAACGGTCTCGGGTTTTAAAAGGTTTCTCTAATCCCGGCCTCAACTAGTTATAAATGATAAGCAGGCTGACAGCAGTTTTGATCTGATGAAAATATGTACAAGTAAAAATTATTGTGTAACTACCTGTGTTTGTTCGTCTAGAAGCTTCCATGCGCCAAGAAGGAGTTAAGGGACTGACTGTCACATGAGTCTCCTGCCGGTCTACCTGACTGAGGCATTCCTGGTTCAAGGACACAAGTACTGCAGCCTGTAGAATGTTTTGGAAATAGTTATTTTTGAAGCCGGACAATAGGTTAATTTCACTGTTATGTTAACGGACAAAAAGCATTGGCATAAAACCCTTTGATTTCGAAGACGTCTTTGAATGCCAGGCGATGGGCATTGCTCTGTGCTGCTGTTCATGTCCCTCGGGAAGTTTAATTGGTTACTTGTTGTACGCCCCCTCATGCTGTTGTCCTCTACTTGCAGTGCTTCTTTCTTTCCTCCCCCCCCTCTCTCTCTCTCCTCTAGAAACCCGATCTAGAGGCCTGGCAGTGGACCGAGTTGCCGAAACTTTCCTTTGTGTCCTGCGTCCAGGCCGCCGTTGCTACTCCCCGCGCACTGACTTGTTACAAGGCTGGAGCAGAGCATGCCGAGCAGAAGAAGTAGCCGGGCGCCTTGATACAATAAACAAAAAACAATGCATCACTTTGCATAATTCTGCTACAGTTAAGAATGCCCATTCTTTTTTTACCTTCAATTGTGTCCACTTTCAATAAAGCAGCATGGCTCATTTCCTGCAATCAAACCTTTTTTCTTGCATTAGAGGGCAACTTGTTCACCTTGCCGACAGACCGCGTGAGCTTTTCATGTACAGTAAGTGGGCCAACTCATGAAATCTCAACAGAAATTCCGAAATGCGTTTTCGTTTAAAAAAGATTACGTAGGGTTGTAAGACCAATTATTATACAGCATAATTCTATGATAATTCAGTTACCCTAGGACGCCGGCTTTCGAACAAACGTTCCGGCCGCATCTGAAAACCATACTCCGTAAAAAAATGACTACTCGAGTGGCATGCATTTTCTCATTGATTTTCGATGCCCTTAAAGATTCAGTTATATTTCATGGAAAACATGCAAAAAAGTGTTCATCCTTTTGCTCCTTTGGTACAAAATTACGTCTTCTTTCAATTTTACGCTCGAAGGAAAGGTATAATTTGGTTTTATAAAAACTTTTCCAATTCCCGGATAATTTTGAACCCGACCTGCCGTTACACTTGCATTCAGGGTTCACAAAATACAAGCCGTATATTTTGTGCGTACGGAAAACCATACATTTCTCTACGGTATTAGGGGAGACCATATGGGGTTCATAAAATTAAGCAGTGGATTTGAGCCACATTGTTAACTTTAACAAATGCAGAGACATGACGTCTTACGAAGGGCCATTTCATGGTATTGAAAAATCTCATAAATAGAAACTTTTTTAAAACCGAATTATACCCTTCCTTTGAGTGTAAAATTGAAGGAAGACGTAATTTTCTACTGAATGAGCAAAAATGAATATTTTATGCATGTTTTCCATGAAATACAATTGAATTTATAGGGGTGTCGAAAATCAATGAGAAAAATGCATGCTACTTAAGTAGTCATTTTTTTACAGAGTGTAGTTCCTGCATGCAGCCGAAAAGAAGTCTGCTTGAAAGCTGGCATCCTGAGGTATCTGAATTATTATAGAATTCTGCTGCATGAGGATTGGTATTACAACCCTATTTAATTAAACTTTTCGAAACGAAAACGCATTTCGGAATTTCTGTTGACACTTCCTGAGTTAGCCCACCTACTGTACATACGAAGGCTATTTTCGTTTAACGCGAATCTAGCATATTGGCGTGCATGAAGTTTGCTGACATCCAGACCTCTGCGCTTGTTTGGGTTTACGCTATTTAACACACTGTATTTCCACATCGATTCAGATGCGAATGGCGTGGGGAGGGGGTGCGCGCCGGCTACATGTCCTTCTTACTCGTGGGACCTAAACCAGCAGGCTACGCAGGAGGGCCAGTTATTCCTCAAGGCGGCATGTCCCGCAGGATTTTTAATATTTTCCGTCGCCTTTCCCAGTAAACGGACCCAGTGGACGCTTGCAGTCAGGCCACTTACCCGTGACAGGCGTCTTCCTAGTGTTAAAGTACATTGTGCGTCAATATTTGGCGTAGATCTAGCCCACAGTACGACAAACCGTGCGTTGCAAAGCGAATTCCGAATTTCCTAATTGTTTAAAATACCCTCTCATAAAAGCAGATCCCAAATAATGGCAGGTACGGCAACGTTGGCTGCTGGTTCCCTGCCGTTGACTGACTGCTGCTTGGCTATGGTCGCCTGGGCCAGTGTCTGTCCCAGGCAGTGGGATCGCTTTACCGGGGGGAGGGGGTGCTCGTTTCTGGCAGACAGTGTCCTAGCACCACAAGGTCCGTTACAATACTGCCAATGCTTTCACCGACAGCAAATTACATTGCTATCAAGGAAATTGCGAAGCCGGGAAAATGGTGGATCCGCATACAAGATCAATACTACTGGCTGAGGTCAGTGCTATGGGCGTCAACGAGGAAACAAGTAGTCCCCCGCATGAAATCGCCTTAAAAGTTCCATCAGTTTTTTACAACAGAATAGACAGCACAATGCGTCTCAGTGAATTGCATTCGAAAACAAACGCGAAAGCGTTTATCTCGCTTTGTCAAAGAGTGCCGATTTTCCGCATTATCATGGTCTTTATTACGCCGTGCGTTCGGTTTTCCATTGTGGATGGCTGATTTCAAGAGCAAACAACCATCTACCACTCCGAACTCGGAGCTTGTTTGCTCTAGGAAGCCAAGGGACCGATGTGCGCCGATTCCCGCATAAATAAACACGCCCGCCCGTTGGCAGCCATCGAGAATGCCAGTTACCGAGGTACTGATAAACTTCGGTTCGATGAAATAGCGCCGCCTGTGAACCATATGCGTTTTTCTCATGCAAATGCTTGTGCTTCTGACCCTAGATGGTGATCAGGTTTATGAGTGACTGAGGCAGGATAAACCAAAAACAGAGCAGTATTAATGGACGTAAACCTGTAGTGCTTATGTGGAATCACCCGTTGCTTTCAGTTTCACGCATTCCAAACCAAAATGATGTAACAGTTGCGAGGTAACCTTAAACATTCGAGAGCAAGTTTATCGGACCTCGACTGTGGCGCAATCTTCACAGATAATGCCGGCGGAAACAGGAATTCGTTCTAAAAGACCCTTCTACAGATAATTAACTACGACTGCCCATTAAAGAATGTGAATCAGAACAAAAATTTCTGTTTGTGTAACGAGCAAGCTGAAAAAAGAAATTTGCAGAAAACACCAACTATGAGGAAAATATTATACTAAAAGAACTAGTAGAAGCTTCCAATCAGTATTAGACACGTAGAAATGTCGTGACTTCGGAGAGAATTTACTGCAGATAGCAACGTAGGATTCCAAAGTACTCTGCGGCTACGTCAAAAGAAGTGTGCGGAAAAGTTACCCAAACCCGTTGATAAAGACTATTGAGGATGTCGAACATGCTGGTGACAGAGAGGAGTCGGAATAAATCTCACAGTTTTCCCAATCGGCCCGCAACACCAAACATAAACAATACCCCCGTCCTCGATAATTTCATCCGAAGATGATTGGAGGCATTGAAAGAATTAAGGTCCCCTCGTACATACAAGATTCTGGCCAGACTTATTGAGTGAATTGTCACTGAACTTGCGGTACCTATGTCAGTGATTCTTCAACGTTCAGTTGATGCTAGAATTCTGTCTTTCGTCGTCTACAATCTATCTTATTTACAATCCATATGAAATTGGAATAAAAAGAAAACTGCTGACATGGATGGGAGATTTTCTTACAAGATGGCAAACCGTGTGCGTTGATGCCTCAAAAGTCAACCTTTACCACCGCTCTAAGCGGTATCCCACAGGGCCTGGTCTTAGGGCAGTTGCTCTTCCTAGTCTACATCGACGACTGTGTCAACGACCTCAATCGCTGCGCTGTCATGTTTTCTGACAATGTCAAACTCTGAGAAGCCATAAGCTCTGACGCAGACAGACGCGCGCCTCAAGAGACCTTCGGCAGACTCAGCAGCTTGTCTTCACTGTGGCTGTTAGATTTAAAAGCTGGTAAGCGTGTGGTCCTAAGACCCCGTACCAGAAGGACCACTCCTTCCGATACCTCCTTGATTGGACCGTCCCTTTCAAATGTTGAGGAACAGATGGACCTCGGTGTTCTAATAACCTTTTCACCTATACCATCGACATAGTGTCTAAAGGTAGCTAAATGTGCGACGCACGTGCTATTTGCGCTGAGACGAGGACTTGTGCGGATTGATAAGGAACTGTTCGGAGTGACCTACTGGGCATTCGTTCAGTCTTAATTGGAACATGGGACGGACTCCATGGCATGGTGGCCCTTTTAAACGAACTGTTGAAACCTCTAAGTGCAAATTATACACTGGTTGGCTGAGAGACTACTATACATGTCATTGCGATTGTGTCAGTGGCGGTAGTTCGCGCCTGGTTGGTCATACAGAGACTGGCGAACCAGTACCTGCAGCACTAACCTACACGCGACTCATCCGCCTCAGCTGCCCTTATTGCACCCGCACGTTCATCCACCTCATGGGCATACTAGGCCACATGCGCATTCACGATAGCCTGCGGTAGACAACCGTCTGCTATACCACACCAGCACACCTTCCCCCACCAACACCTGCATCACACAACATCATCACCCGTCACCAGCATCGAATTGCCACCTCCCACGCAAAAGGGGAATGTGCGTCTCGGCTGCATCCCCATCCGATCCATCTGCTGCATGTGTGATTCGAGTCTGAGATTATAGCGGTGCGTCAAGCGCTGTGGCTTGGAGGGCTGCTGACTGACGCCCCAACTCAGCCCAACCTGCTCAGTTGTGTGTGTGTGTGTCTTTGTGTAGAGTGGCGAACCGTTGTGTGGAGTTCTGGTGTCTGTCTTAGGAGGGCCAGGCCGTGCATTTAGTGCGCGCAGACTGGGTCACCAGTTATGTCAGCCGCCGCTCCCATTCGCCGCACCTGTCAACTGACCGACTCGGACGGTGGTTGGGGCATGGGAATGGGAAGGGAGAGTGAGATCGACGACTCAGCGCATTTTCCTTACTATCAGCCCAACTGAGCACGACGGATTTATTCTGCGCTCCAACTGGGACAATTTCGACTTGGATACCATTCCACAGTTACAGTCTCTGACATTGATACTGGAACCGTACGTACAGACTCACTTTGTGCATTTTTTGGAATATTTTTTCACGCATCGAAATTCGCCTGGAACCTGGATTAAGTGCAATTTGTTTATCAGCACGGTCCAACTGACAACGCAATTGGCTACGCAACCGATTCACGGTATACAGCCTAGAAAACCAATCGCTCAAAATCCTTCAAGGTCTGCAGTTATTCAAGTCCCACGAGATCTGGAAAGGGCTAAGTCGCTTCTGATTAAATTCAACAAAATTTATAGGATTTTAAGTATTTTTTCGCTTATTGAGTTTTGAATACTCACTTTAATTCATCATATATAAGCGGACGTATTCGTTATAACATCGAAAGCGGAATTATACCTATTAT